TTATCAGATGAGCTCATTCTACGCTCCTTTTGTTTAGCTTCTAGTACTCTTTCCTTTGCCTTGGTGCTCATCTTGTGCGGATATCCGTCTCCAACATCAGTTGGAATTTCCATACCCATATTCCTCATTATTTTTTCGACTCTATCCAGCCTTTGCTGATGTGTGAGAATGGTCCGTTCATTCTCTGGGATATAGTTTTTAGGGAGATGGCAGACGTCGTCATATAGTGTGTTGTCAAATATATCATCATCTGACTGTTTGGACTCAGAGTATGACGATGATTCATCGGACTCTTCAACAGAGCTGTCTGAATCATCGGGATCTATAGTCGATTGAGCTACATCATGATTGGTTCCAGTTGATTGTTGCTCTGTTCCAGTTGAAGCGCAAATACCAGTGTGTTGCTGCATGTGTGTTGAACATTCTTTTACAGATTCTGATTCGATGGCAGACGGACGATCAATGACTACTGCACTGACTGTCACCGACAATAGCAACAACACAATAATCGATATGAATTTCATCCTGTCGACGAGAATGGATGTGATAAAGCTTGTCAATTAGTAGGACAATTCTTGGTAATAAATGAGCCAGTTGTGGATATGAACCATACCTTCATAGCGATTAAATATATAATCAAGACATACGGGTTATATGAGCTTATGCAGCAACAGCTTGACCGCCATTTAGGTATATGTAGCACATATACTCATGTGTAGGCTGTTTTATGCACAACTCTTCAGTCATTGAATGAAACAGGACTCATAGTCAAGGACTGGTGACCCTGACCCATATACTAGAGAATATGTCAAGATCGATTGGCATAATCAGTCAGTTTCAAGTTACGGTCAGTATAGGGTAACAGTTTATCCACACAACAGCTGGTCAAATATTAGTGGTAAAATCCTTCAAACGGCTCTGCTTCAACACTTGATCTAGTGATATGATACTGTGTTGCAGTCCTGTTCAATGCAGTATGGATTGATGGTCATATCAGCAATATCAATACTTTATGCCAACTGTAATACTTTCAATATGCAAACTCAAAGTATTGCCAATGATTAGAAAAGCTTCAACATAACTCTTGAACTGTCAATTGTCATGCTATCAATAGTATGAACATCCGACTCAATACTGTACATGACTGATTGTCAAGAGTCTTGCAGCGTTTACTTGACAAACTGGATTCCTGTTTCGATTATACAAACATGACATCAAACACATGTCTACTTTGGAACAAGACGTTGAGTTGAATGTCCAGCAATATACAAAAATATACAAAAACAGCACGAATTGAATGTCAAAACTCGATTACTAACAATTTCAAATCTACAGAAACGAATACGACAACTTGCAGTCTAGTCATGTAAACGGAACACTAACAGTGTTGGTGTGTAATAAACAGTCAGTGTCATGGACTGGTTGACAATACAGTGGTGTTGTTGGTGGTGATTGGCATGCAAACAACAGTTGCATTACTGACATGTGTCATCATTGTTGTTGAACTAGATTGCGATCGTATCCGTGATTCAGAATACAACAAATGTGTGTACAGAGTTGTATTGGCAATATTGACAGTCAAACACAATACATGAATGTGGGTTCAAACTTGGTGATCGTACAATGTATGACTACCAAATGTGTCGAGTATCCATGCAGAATACTAAATGGTAATATGTGATGATCCAAGGGACTCGTATCACCAATGTTTGTGTGCCGTAATTCCACTATTTGACTTGGTAAATAATAGGAATTACACATATTGATCAATTTACTTTTCTGATTGCTCATCATACATTCTACTTGTTTGTGTCACCAAGATACAAACAATCAATTACTACAAGACTGACTATAACTCATATTTATTAATAGATGACTCTTCCAACCATTTCAACATATTATTGTTTTACTACATCTTTTCATTATCATTGAAAACTCCAAATCTGCTGATCCTGAATTATTGTGCAACTCCCATTACACTTTTGATTTGTTATTTTCTGTCAACTACTAACAGTCACAGATCATACACACTCCATTTAAATTAATGTAAATCAGATTACACAAAACTCCAACAGAGTTGTTGGTTGTTGATGGACAAGTTGGATATAAAGTTGTTTTTAATCAATCCGTTGACAATCATGATAGCATACTTTGATTTGTATGTACGCAATACTGCTGTCATCTTGTGTATGGTGTTTTGTATTCCTACAAACGCACTCTATTTCCAGCTGTTTTCTTTGTATACATTTGATGTTGTGTAACAATGAGGGTGTAAAATGTAGTACAGAAATAGACGACTAAATTACAATTATTCCAACGGATTTAGCACTCTTGTTCAAGTAAAACAGTATCATCCGATGCTCACTATACACTACTTGTACGTTGAATCATGCCAATCACTTGCTACTTTAACAAGCATGGAATATCACAACAATATTGATGACCAACTAATAGTCGAGTGTCAACTCTGCAGTTTTGGTTTATACTCATTTCTTAACCCTAACCCTTGATCATAACCCTTTTTAGGGTGAAGCTTTATAATCAACCATATGATATTCGAATGTATGGTCAGATAGCAGCTCAGCCAAGGTTACAGGTTAACATATAAAGTGAGATCCCTTCAAAGTTTGGCATTGACAACAAATCAACATTCAACCCTGACAACGCTAGCCCTTGAAACGACTATTCAAGGAATATGCTTTTAATACCATTTATTCAATAATGGATATAAATATAGTTCAAAAACCGACCTGTTGAATGACATTACAACTTGCTCAACCAAACCAGTAGAATGAAACTCGCAGTTGCTGTATTGTCATCGATCTTGCTTGCCTGCTCGGTTACTACAGCCAGCCCAGTCAACCCCAGTGCAACTACAGATGTTGAAACTAGCACTTCAACCGTCATTCCCAGTGAAACTACAAGTACTGAAGCTAACACCTCGTCAACTCCTAATCCAAACGGTATAGGCTTAGACGGTCTTGATCCACTTCCAGGTAACGTCAAGGAATTGCTCGAAAAATACGCAGAGATAGATCATGATCGTAAACAGCAAAGAAAAATATGCAAGTTGTTAAAATCTCGATATGAGGGTCAACGTAAGGTGGTAAAGCGCTTGGAAAAAAAGCTTGAAACTCTGGAAAAGAAACCTCAAAGAAAAGGTGGCGATCCAGAGCACGATGAAAAAATTCAAAAGGCTGAGCTTGATCTTGAAGCTCAATATTTCGAATTTGGCAAATTTCGAAAAGAATTTGTTGAGTGCGAGTCCAAGCTTGGTGATCTTGTAGAAAAAGAATGGGAGACCGATCAACAGATTGTGAGTCTCGTTTTCGGAGCCACTATGAATGTTGCAACAGTTGCTCACCAAGCTTCGCTTATCAAAGAAACGCCTTCCGCTAAAAATTACCTTGAAAAGCAATCATTAAAAAACAAGGATCTTGATCAAAAATCTGGTGGTCGACGAAAACACAAAGATTTAGAATCATCGGACGAAGAATCATCAGATGAAGAATCTGGATCTGGATCCTCTAGACAGAAAGCTCCCTCCAATAAACGGAAAGGGTTTTCCAAGCTTATGGATGGATTGGGATCATTCTTTAAACGACCCAAACGTGACGATCCACTCAATTGATTTAAATGCTAATCTGGACTTGTTTCAACCAATTCAATTGTCATTATGGTTTAATTTACAATAAATTTGTATGTGCATGCATTATATCTGATCATTGTACACAATCTTGATTGGCATGATATCATATTGTACATTGACACTTGTATTTCCAATACAATGCAGTTGATTGTATATTGCATAGTTGTACACATTGATAGTGCTGACATGCATGTGTGTATTGTGTCGATATGATATTTCTTGACATGTCGTATTGGCACATGCAATACCAATACCAACAATAGTCATGTGTGTTGATATCAGATCCGATCAATTTGACTGGTTTGACTCGTTGATTGTGGTGTCAAAATGGTTGCATCAATAGCCTGACTGATCACACACATCAGTCGCAGTATCAACTTTGTAGTGTGTCAAGTATCACATGTTGAATATACAATGCCAACAATATGGTCATTATGCACATGTTGATGTATGCAGTGATCGTATACTGGTCGATTGGTGCAATATGATCACACATACTAATGGAATGTAATAATCATGGTATTTGCAGCAGTATACTATATTAAACTGATCCAATACATGCACGGTTTGAACATATCACACACATTACAATAAATCGCATGATACATACATCAACTCCATCAATATTAAATCTCATTGTGTAACATTGAGCAACATCACCATCCAATTCAACGGGTGATCGTTTTGACAGCCTATTGTTTGATGGACTGGCAATTCCAAAAGGTGATTCTAATGCAAGTCGAACTGCAGCAACCACTTGTAACGCAAGTAGAATGCATTCTAGAGTAATCAGCATTGTATCGAGTAGTGTGATGAAAATGGGTTGAATCTGATATATGACTGCCGTTTTATAACGACGGCAGCTTCAAGGGTGACAATCAGCAATCTCCAAATGGGTATTTAGAAAAAGCCAAATACACCTTATAGGGTGAATCAATATACAAGCATCGCTGTTGGTGTATAATCAACTTCACTAGTATGCTGTGTTGATCTCTCCAATTGCGGTCATGTATCCAGTGATCAGGTAGTGCCATTATGGATAATTATCATCGCATCTACAATCCATTACCACAGCATACACTGTCATTGTATGCCAAGTATTTGATTGATTGTTCAATTGGTCATGTTTTTTGACCAGCATCCATCTGTGCACTGTTTAGATTGGTCCCATTTGTCATTTATCAGTCAATTTGTATACAGGTCGGGTCATCCAACGACTTGCTATCATGCAAATTCAAATACAGTCTATGCAACAGTCGGTTGTTTTTTGTGTATATCCAGATTGAACTACCAATAATGGTTATTTCACACAAAGTCACCCAATATCCTGCCAATTGTGATTGTGATTGTATTCCACATCCAATTATAGATTGTAATCACAATCACAATTACCGTGTTTGATCAAATGATGTTTTGCATTGATCATGATATCATACATCACAATACTGCCAGATCACTGCACACAATTCATGACCAATACAAATGCATTACTGATTGACACTGATCGACACCATATATACAGTCAGACAGCACAACAAATCACCAGCATGCCATTGACCGTGTTGCAATACAATTGTCCAATATATCATGCTGTATGTTGTATCGAGTCACGACATACAACATTGCTGACTGAATACAAGTCACAACTGCAAGTATTCATATGGTAATGAACTGATATTGGTGTTGATACCCAATTGATTGACTAGTCGATCATCATCAATTACATCAGTGATTGGTATATGCAACTGATATACACCATGTCCGAGTCTGATACATGTCGATATATGCGTGTTAATCAACAATGCATATTTATGGCCACAAGTCGAATGTGAGTCGAGTCGATCATTAAACCAACCAATCAATGATTGCATTCTA